TTCGCCAGGATGGTCTCGATCTCCTGACCTTGTGATCCGCCCGTCTCAGCCTCCCAAAGTGCTGGGATTACAGGCTTGAGCCACCGCGCCCGGCCTCAGAGACGGGGTTTCACCGTTGTTGGCCAGGCTAGTCTCAAACTCCTGACCTCAAGTGATCTGCTCGCCTCATCCTCCCAAAGAGCTAGGATTACGGGCATGAGCTACCACACCTGGCCTACTTATTTATTTTTTTATCCAACTGAATTTAATATTTAAATCCTGTTTAATTATTATTATTATTTTTGAGACAGGGTCTCACTGTGTTTCCTGAGTAGCTGGGGCTATAGGTGTGCACCACCATGCTCAGCTAATTTTTGATTTTTTTTTTTTTTTTTAGAGATGGGGTCTCACTATGTTGCCCAGGCTGGTCTCAAACTCCTGTACTCAAGCGATCCTCCCACCTTGACCTCTCAAAGTGCCTGGGATTACAGGCCTGAGTCACATTCCTGGTTTAACCTGTCTTCTAAAGTGATGAGAATGACAGCTCAGGGATGTGACTTCACTTGCCCAGCATCACATTGCAAATCAGGAAACCAGACCTTATGGCTCCAGAATTCATGGTTTTAATCAGTCCTCTACCCTGCCTCTTATAGCTGTATCCTATGCTCAGTGCCTGGTACATAGTAGGTGCTAATGGATGTCAGTTGGACAATGCAGTGAAGAATAAAGGCCAGGTATACTGTTGTGCATCCAATGGGTAAATTAAAATGATATCAATCGGGCATGGTGATGGTTCATGCCTGTACTCCCAGCACTTTGGGAGGTTAAGGCAAGAGGATCGCTTGAGGCCAGAAGTTGAGGACCAGCCTGAGCAACATAGCGAAATCCCATCTCTACAAAAAAAAAAAAAAAAAAAAGAAAGAAAGAAAGAAAAAAAAAGAAAGAAACGAAAAATTTTAGCTGAGCGTGGTGGCACACACCTGTAGTCCAAGCTACACAGAAGACCAAGGCAGGAGGATCACTTTAGCCCAGGAGTTTAAAGCTGCAGTGAGCTCTGATTGCAACACTGCACTCCAGATCCCGACTCAAAAAGCAAAAACGACCACCAATTACAATGATGTTAGAATTTGTTGAGTTTCCCCTCTGTGCCAGGCTGGTCTTTCTAATACTTACATTGTTCCCAGGAGGCAGGAACCATGATCATCTTTATTATAACAATGGGGAAACTGAGGCTCAGAGAAGCCAGGTTATTTTCTAAGGACATGCAGTGAGTAAGTGTTGAACTGGGATTCAAGTGGATGCTGCCCCCAAAGCCTGTTTCTTGACATCAAGCCTCGTGCACCATTTACAAGCTAACTAAATTTTTATTTAGCATCTACTGTGTGCCGGGGAAGGCAGAACAGTGGTAACTAAGACGGGCATATGGCCGGGCATAGTGGCCCATGCCTATAGTCCCAGCACTATGGGAGGCTGAGGCAGGAGGATTGTTTCAGCCCAAGAGTTCAAGATCAGCCTGGGCAACACAGTGAGACCCTGTCCCTATTTTATAAAAAAGAAAAAATCTATTTAAAAAAAAATTACAAAAATTAGCTGAGCGTGGTGGTGTGTGCCTGTAATCTCAGCTACTTGGGAGGCTGAGGCATGAGAATCGCTTGAACCTGGGAGGCAGAGGTCACAGTAGGTCAAGATCACGCCATTGTACTCCAGTCTGGGTGGCAGCTTGAGACTCTGCCTCAAAAAATAAGTAAATAAATAAATAAATAAAAGAATAAAAGAAAAGAAAAAAAATAGGCATAGTTTTGTCCTCACGAAACTCAAGCTCTAGATAATGACATAATCACGTAAGTGAGTAGGTAATTACAAATTGTGATACATTCTGGGAAGGACATCATAAGATGCTAAGAGGAGAATAACATGAGGATTACCAACTATAGACACAGTGAACACGGAGGCTTGTCTAAGGAAATTTGAACTGAGCCAGGCATGATGGTGCACACTTTTAGTTCTGACTACTCAGGAGGCTGAGGTGGGTGGATTGCTTGAACCTAGGAGTTTGAGGCTGCAGTGACCTATGACTGCACCACTGTGCTTCAGCCTGGACAACAGAGCCAGAGCCAGACTCCATCTGTTGAAAAAAAAAAGTAAAAAGTTGAGTTGGGTTCTGAAGCATAAGCGGGAATTAGGAACACGGAAGAGGAGCAGTGCTCCAGACAGTGAGAACAGCACATGCAAAGGCCCTGAGGTGGAACTAGAATGGTGTGTTCAAGAAACAAGTATAGGCTGGGCACGGTGGCTCACATCTGTAATCCCAGCACTTTGGGAGGCCGAGGTGGGCAGATCGCCTGAGGTCAGGAGTTCGAGACCAGCCTGACCAACATGGTGAAGCCCTGTCTCTGCCAAAAATACAAAATTAGCCAGGCATGGTGGCGCATGCCTGTAACCCCAGCTACTTGGGAGACTGAGACAGGAGAATCGCTTGAACCTGGGAGGTGGAGGTTACAGTGAGGCAAGATCATGCCATTGCACTCCAGCCTGGGCAACAAGAGCAAAACTCCATCTTAAAAAAAAAGAAAAGAAAAGTATAGCTGTTTGTCTATGGTGGTTTATATGTGTCAGGCACTATTTAATCCCAGGAGGTAGATTTCTATTTGACAAAACCTGAGGAACAGAGAGGTTAATTATCTTGCCCAAGATCACACAGCTAATGAGAGTGGCTTCTCCATCCCTCCACCCAATACCTTCAAGCACTCTGTCAAAGTGCCCACTGTCTTGTTTCCCACCCCCTCTTCCCTCCAGATGTGAACATGGAGGCTCCAGATGAGAAGTCCATCATCACCTATGTGGTCTCTTTCTACCACTATTTCTCCAAGATGAAGGCTCTGGCTGTGGAGGGGAAGCGTATCGGGAAGGTATAAGGAGCCAAGGAGTGGGTGAGTGGGAAGCTGGGAGCTGGCGGCAGGCATGGGTGGGATGAGGCTGACCCCTGCTTCCTCTGCTGTGTCAGGTCTTGGACCAGGTGTTGGAGGTGGGTAAGATCATAGAACGCTACGAGGAGCTGGCGGCCGAGCTGCTGGCCTGGATTCACCGCACCGTGGGCCTCATCAGCAACCAGAAATTTGCCAACTCCTTAAGTGGGGTGCAGCAGCAACTCCAGGCTTTCACGGCCTATTGCACGCTGGAGAAGCCTGTCAAGTGAGGTCCAGCTCTGGAGGGACGGCGGGCAGGGGTGGCATGACGGCAGGGCTCCTGAGCTCATGCTCCTTCAGGTTCCAGGAGAAGGGGAACCTAGAGGTGCTGCTCTTCAGCATCCAGAGCAAACTGCGTGCCTGCAACCGTCGCCTCTTTGTGCCTCGGGAGGGCTGTGGCATCTGGGATATTGATAAGGTAAGGCCACGGATGCAGGGGAGAGGTGGAGTTGCACTGTGGAGTTGTATAGGTTGCACACTGCTCAAGGGAATCATTCACATTGTAGGCATGGTGGATTAGATATTCATTCTGACAGTTTTTCAGTAGTAAAGTGTCATAAAGAAGCAACATGTTTTCCAATTTGCATGAAGTTGCCATAATGCTATGAGTGGCCTCAGACTAAGTCAAGACCATTAAACTGTGGGGAGCTGTCAGAGTCTGACTGCCTCCTCCCATCTCCTGCAGGCATGGGGTGAGCTGGAGAAGGCTGAGCATGAGCGGGAGGCTGCCCTACGGGCTGAGCTGATTCGGCAGGAGAAGCTGGAACTACTGGCACAGAGGTTTGACCACAAGGTGGCTATGAGGGAGAGCTGGCTGAATGAGAACCAGCGTCTGGTCTCCCAGGTACAAGGTGTAGGGCTTGGCTCCGGGGGAAAGGGAGGGAGGGCGGGGCTGATGGTCCTGGGACCAAAGAGGGAGACTTGATCTCCTAGGCAACAGGGAAGAGTTAGATTAGTTTCCTGGTGATAAATGAGGATGGGAAGGGAGACTTGGTCTTCTAGGTGATTGTTGGGTGAGGGGAATGGGCCTGATCTCCAGGGTAATGGGAGAGTGAGGCTGGTCTTCAGGGTAACTAGAAAGGGCGGAATTAGTCTCTTCAGCAATAGGGGGAGTGTTTTAAATGACAAGAGAGGTTGTATCTTGTGTCTAGGGTAACTCAGGAGGATATAATTGGTTTCCTAAGTAACAGAGTCAGGTAAACCTGGTCCCTAATCTCCAGGACAGGGGAAGCCTCTTTCCTGAGTAACAAGTTTAAGGTTAGCGATGTAACAGGAGGGTGGGACTTGTTTCCAGGGTAACTGGAGAGAGTGGGGCTGGTCTCCAGGGAAATGGGAAGGTGGGGTTGGTCTCTAGGGCAACAGAGGAGGTGGGTCTGTTCTCCACGGTAACTGGGGAAGATTGGGTTGGTCTCCAGGACAACAGGGGAGGGTGGGGTTGATCTCCAGGGTAACTGGAGAGGGTGGCACTGGTCTCCAGGGCTACAAGGGAGGATGGGGCTGGTCTCCAAGGTAACTGTGGAAGATGGGCTGATCTCCAGGGCAACAGGGGAGGGGAGTTGGTCTTTAGAGTAACTGGGGAGAGTGGCACTGGTCTCCAGGGTAACAAGAGAGGGTGGGGTTGGTCTCTAAGGTAACAGTGGAGGGTGGGGCTGGTCTCCAGGTTACCTGGGTAACAGGGGAGGGCGGGGCTGGTCTCCAGGATAACTAGGGAGGGCAGGGCCGGTCTCCAAGGTAATGGAGGGGGGAGTCCCCAGGGTCACACAGGGTCAAGGTAATAGGTGGACTGCTGAGGCAGCATGGGTTAGTGTCTGGCTCACTGCCCCAGGACAACTTTGGGTATGAGTTGCCCGCAGTGGAGGCAGCCATGAAGAAACACGAAGCGATCGAGGCAGACATTGCAGCCTACGAGGAGCGGGTACAGGGTGTGGCGGAGCTGGCCCAGGCGTTGGCGGCCGAAGGCTACTACGATATCCGGCGGGTGGCAGCCCAGCGTGACAGCGTCCTGCGCCAGTGGGCCCTGCTAACTGGGCTTGTGGGTGCCCGGCGGACACGGCTCGAGCAGAACCTGGCCCTGCAGAAGGTCTTCCAGGAGATGGTGTACATGGTGGACTGGATGGAGGAGATGCAGGTGCCAGGCGGGGGCCGCGGATGCGGGTGGAGTGCCGGAGGGAAGGGAGGATGCAGACGCTGAAAGCGTTGACAGACAGCTGGAGCTGGAAAGGGAAGGGCAGAGATAGAAGAAGATAAAGAGAAAGCCAGGAAGACAAAAAGAGAGAACAAGAGAGAGAGTGAGAGAAAGATACAGAGATAGACAAGAGAGGCAGACAAAGAAACAGAATGAGAAAGAGACGGAGACGAATAGAGAAATAGAAAAATGCTGGACACAGTGGCTCACACGTGTAATCCCAGCACTCTGGGAGGCCGAGGCGGGCAGATCACTTGAGATCAGGAGTTTCAGACCAGCCTGTCCAACATGGTGAAACCCCCTGTGTACTAAAAATACAGAACAATTAGCTGGGTGTGGTGGCATGTGCCTGTAGTCCCAGCTATTTGGGAGGCCGAGGTTCAAGAATCGCTTCAATCTAGGAGGCAGAGGCTGCAGTGAGCCAAGATGGTGCCACTGCACTCCAGCCTGGATGACAGAATGTGATTCTGTCTAAAAAAAAAAAAAAGAAGAAAGAAAAAAAGAGAAAGAAATGAAAAAAGACATGGAGATACAGAGACAGAGTAAGCCAGGGATGCAGACAGAGAGAGAGTGACAGTTTGAGAGAGAGGGAGAGAAATCAGAGAGGCAGAGAGAGGGGGAGGCAGACACAAAGGTGACAATGAAAATCTGCATGGCTACAGAGAAAGATACAGGAAGATGGGAATCAATCTGAGAGAGAGAAAGACCTACCAGATCTAGAGAGAGATGAGACAATAAAGATAGAAGCCAGCTGGGCATGGTGGCTTACACCTGCGGTACCAGCACTGTGGGAGGCTGAGGTAGGCAGATTGCTTGAGCCCCAGAGTTTGAGACCAGCCTGGTCAACATAGTGAGATCCTGTCTGTACAAAAAAATAAAAACAAAAACAAAAACTAGCTAGGTGTGGTGGCATGCGCTTGTAGTCCCGGCTACTCTGAAGTGGGACGATCACTTGAGCCCAGGAGGTTGAGGCTGTGTGAGCCATGATTGCACCACTACACTCCAGCCTGGGTGACAGAACGAGATCCTGTCTCAAAAAAAAAAGAAGCTGGGTGCGGTGGCTCACACCTGTAATCCCAGCACTTTGGGAGGCCAAGGCAGGCAGATCATCTGAGGTCAGGAGTTCGAGACCTGCCTGACCAACATGGCAAAACCCCATCTGTACTAAAACATCCAAAAATTAGCCGGGCAAGGTACATCCACTCGGGAGGCAGGAGAATCGCTTGAATCCGGGAGGCGGAGCTTGCAGTGAGCCGAGATCGTGCCACTGCACTCCAGCCTGGGCGACAGAGCCAGACTCTGTCTCAAAAAAAGAAGAAGAGGAAAAAAAAAAAAAGAAGGAAAAGAAGGAAGGAAGGAAGGAGGATACAGACAGAGAGAAAGGGAAAGGGGCAGAAATGTAGAAAGAGAGATGCAGAGAGAGATGGAGACAAAGATGTATAGACAAGAAAGACGTGGAAGCAGAGACTAAGCTACTGTGACAGAGCCCAGAAATGTAGAGTCCACGAGAGATGGAAACATTCAGAGAGAGACAGGTAGAGAAAGAGGGAGACAGAGACAGAACACCATTGCTAGCTGTGAGAGCCGACAACAGCCGGGGCTCGGCTTTTTTCTTTCTGATGAGGAAACTAAGCCCAGGCCACAGAGCTGGTAAGAGGGTCTTGAGGCTGGTCCATATCTCTCTAAGACGGGTCAGAGTCAAGAGTGACAGTGCAGAGCAGCAGGGGCTGGCACAGGCGATGGGGGAGAGGCGAGTGGCCAGGGCAGTGCCAGAGGTGTGCTCAGTGCTGTCCCCGCTTGTAGGCTCAGCTGCTGTCCCCGGAGTGTGGGCAGCACCTGGTGGAGGCAGATGACCTGTTGCAGAAGCATGGACTGCTGGAGGGAGACATTGTGGCCCAGAGCGAGCGGGTGGAGGCGCTCAATGCCGCTGCCCTGCGCTTCTCCCAGCTGCAGGGTGAGTCTTGGGGCTGGGGCTGGGGCTGGGGTTGGAGACTCTTGGGACTGTTGCCGATAGAGGCAAGAGTGATTCCTGAGAGAAGAAAAGAGTGAGCTCCTTGTCCTTGGAGGCATTTAAGCAGAGCCTAAGATCACATTCCAATAAGGAAGTCATGGGGAGAATCAATGCCCTGAGTGGCAGGGTGGACCACTCGACCTCTTCCTGCTTTAGATTCTGCAGTGATAACCCACATTTATCGAGCACTTGTTATGTGCCAAGCCCTTCACAGATTGCTCTCAACGAATACCATTTAAAAAGACCTGTGTGTTGGCTGGGTGTGGTGGCTCACGCCTGTAATCCTAGCAGTTTGGGAGGCCTAGGCGGGTGGACCACCTGAGGTCAGGAGTTTGAAACCAGCCTGACCAACATGGTGAAACCCCGTCTCTGCTAAAAATACAAAAAACAATTAGCCAGGCATGGGGGCATGTGCCTGTAATCCCAGCTA